GAAAAACAAATTATCCTAAGAACCCAAGCAAATTGTTATAAACATTAGCCATGTGAGCAAGCAAGGTATTCTTAGTTAGGTCTTTTACTGGCAGGCTTCAATTTTGCAGTTACGCAGAAAGGGCTAATTTTTGTTGTTGTTTTGCATCTATACTACAAGGCAGAAGCCTAAGGAGCATATGCTTCGTGTGTTTTTATTTACCATTTGGTAACAAGCAACAACTGCATCAGTCTGCCTAGAACCAGGCCATGGGAGTTTGTCTTCAATTTTGCTTAGGGGAGTGACTTTCTCTTTTTTATTTTTCATTTTTTTTAATGCATAGGTGTTTTGCCATGGCTGTAAGGTCCCCTGGAAATGGAGTTATAGACAGTTAGGAGCTACCCTATGGGTGCTGGGAATTGAACCCAGGTCCTCTGGAAGAGCAGTCAGTGCTCTTAACCACTGAGCCATCTCTACAGCTCTGAAAGGTAACTTTATAAGGAATCACAAACCTAAACTTTTATATATGAAAAAGAACTAGTGAACTCTACTTTAAATACCTACACAGCAATAGTTTGTTGTTGTTGGAGATTGTGGGCAGAAATGGGTATAAGGAATTAATCATCACCTTTGATCATCAACCAACCCTAACAAGGAAAATATGTCAGAACCAACCCTAACAAGGAAAATATATCCAGTTTGTAGTTTTGGGATGCTTTGTATTTTTGATGTTTGCTGTGTGTCCTTGTGAACTTTATATTGTTTTCTGGGGTTTTCCATCTTAAATCTAATTATCAAAACATCTGATCTAACCTGAAGTTATTTTAGAGCTTTGTTTCAGTTAATGATGCACACGAAAACCTATGACTTTGTCTTCCAGCCTAACGATTAAAGGAATTTGAACCAGACTGGCTCCTGGGATTCAACTGCTTTTCTTAATCATTAACTTGAGCTATGGCCTATGCAGCTTCACAGGCCCTGGCTGTGTAACATTTCCTTGTATTTACTTTTATTCATCAAAACTCTGTATAAGCTAACATTATTATTATCAATTAGACAGTAGAGCTTAGGGAGGAGTCATCTTCATGATGATTCACAGATACAACTGCCCAGTAGAGGGGCTGGAGAGATGGCTCAGAGCTTAACAGCATTGGCTATTTTTCCCAGAGGGCCTGAGTTCAATTCCCAGTAATCACATGGTGGCTCACAACCATCTGTAACGATATCTGGTGCCCTCTTCTAGCATGCAGGCATAGATATTCAAGCAAAATATTGTATATATAATCAATATTTTTTTAAGTGCCCAGTAAAGCAAGATGTTTCCATGACATGAACACACTTACATTACAGGCAGTGGGGAATCTCCCCACACCCAATTTAACCATGCCAGATACCAGAGAAAGATAAAAAATGTACAGCAGTTAGTCAGCCCATTTTGCCTTTGAATGGTCAGAGTCAATGTCCAAGAAGACTAGACAGCTCACCTGAACATGACTAAGGGTTCAGAAATTCCCCTACACTCTTTGGGGAAACATTATAAAAAGACTTAAGGATTCAGAGTGTCACACCCTAATTCAGCTGTGCTCAGCATACAGATGATCTCCTATTGGCAACACTCACCACTCAGCTACTCTAAAGTAAACAGTCCCTACGTTTTGTTTGGCCTGTTGGATCCACCTGGGGTGTAAAGTTATATTCAACTGGGCATGACTGCATTGCCCTGTTTACCTCCTAGGGCAGATGGTATGGACCCCTCAACCCTATTTGCCCCAGAGTCCAGTTGGAGAAACCTCTGATTGCCTTCCCCCCTCCTTTTCCTCTAGGTAAGGAAACCAAAATCTCCTTATCCTTTATCGACCCCAGGGGCTATGTTAATTGACTCCATTCCTAAAGAGGTCTCTCCCTTGCCTGATCTTACACCCAGTCTGAGCTGACACAAGACTGCTGGATCTGCTTAAAAGCCCGGCACCACTACTGTTTCAGGTTAAGAACAAAACTTCCAGTAACCACAGCTTCCATATCTTTTACTTGTCCACTTTCACAAACCACTATTACATTGGAAAATGTGACTAAAAATACCTTGTCACTATAAATTACCCACTTGCCAGTTCCCCCTTTCTGCCTCTTGTAATACTAGTCTCACAGTAACTTTTAACTCAGAAGCTTATTTTACTTGACCATAAACTTGATTTGCCTATACTACTGGTCTCTCCCACCGTATGGCCTCGGGACACCTACATAAACGGATCTATGACACATAAACCATCAGATGGATGCAGACCTCAGACACCCTCAGCTCTCCCTCGGTGGCTCCATACCCAGGTAGCTTCTAACACAAATAGTCCTCCAAGACTGTGAGGTTTAGACTTGGTTTTCATGTCTCAGTGAGGACTTTGTGTGACACTGGAAGAGGCTTGTTGCTACTATCCTAACAAAACAAGAGTTCTCAAAAACAAAAACCAACTTTACAAAAAATGAAAAATAAATTTAAAAAAACAAATATTTTCTAATACCATAAAATGCTTGATTAAAACCCATGGCTCATCAAAAACAAAACAAAACAAAAACATGGCTCACAATCTTTTTCACTGCCCGGCTGGCCCCTTACTCCTCCTTTTTGTTTGTGTGCTTGTTTTTTGCTTTTTTTGTTTGTTGTTTTTTGTTTTAAGGCAGGGTTTCTCTGTCTAATAACTTTGGCTGTCCTGGAACTCACTCTGTAGACCAGGCTAGCCTCAAACTCACAGAGATCCTCCTGCCAATGCCTCCCGAGTGCTGGGATTATAGGCCTGTGCCACTGCTGCACGGCTTACTCCTCCTTTTTAAGGACTTGCTGTGTGGCCTTGTATAATAAATTGCCTTTTAAAATTAATCAAACAGAAAATGGCTTCAATTAGGCTAATGATTCTCGGGACCCAGTATTTACTGCTTAGCAAAGATCAAAGATTTATAAATAACTTTAAAAATGGGGGAGTGAAATGACTAAGGTGATGTCATCCTGTCTGACTTCCTTTGGTGTCTGCTGAGGTAGATCTCTGTCCTCCTTCCCCCAACAGACACCTTGGCCTTGACAATGCATTTGAGCAGCTTATGGCCTTGACCATGGTCCATATATATTAACCAAAATGATTGATAAGTTATGTCTAAAATAACCACCATGCTCTGCTAGGAATGAATGTTTCAAGGTTATTCTGATCCCCATCTAACTTCAATATATCATTCTTGCCTCTCCTCAGATCTTCTTCCTGCAGGCTGTGAGGCTTACAGGGATCCCCACATCTGGCACCCAACGTGAGGTGCCATCCTCAGAAAAGGTAAGAACATTTTCTTTAAATATATATTCAGGGTTCAGCAAACCCAGCCTCTCACCCAAGGATTCACAGCTGTGAGAGTGGACTTGGCATGGGTTCTTCTCGGTCCTCTGGGACAAAGCATTTTGTGCAGTTATTAAGACATTTGTTAAGATCCAGAGGAACAAAATATTCACTGCAACAGTTAACATAGGAACTAATGTAAAGAGCGCCCATGAGAGGGAGATAAAATCCCTGTCAGTTTTCTTTTTAAAAGGGAGAGAGAAAGTTTTCTGCCACACATCTCAGCCAGTCTTGGCCTGGGCTGAAGTGAACTCGGGAGCCTCTCATGCTTCCAGGTTTCCAAGCCAGGCACATTGTAGATTTTGTCTTTAAAAACTCCGTTTCCAAATCTCTGCGTTCAAGGCCAGCCTTGTCTAGAGAGCAAGTGCCAGGAAAGATGTGGCTACAGAGAGAAAACCTATCTCAAAAACAAAACAAAATAAAAACCTCATAGTCCCTAAACTTGAGCATCAAGAAACTTTTCAGACACACAAGCCTACTCTTGGTCTGGTCATCAGTAAAAACAGGACTTAAAGCTTTTGATTGCTTGGCTTGATTAGTGTGGTTGTCAATAACTCTCTAGATCACTATAGGCTCACACCTCTAATTCCAACACTCAGGAGGCAGAGGCAGGCAGGTATATGAGTTGAAGACAAACCTGGTTTACATAGAAAGTTTCATGTCAGCCAGGGCTACATAGGACCCTGTCTCAAAAAGATGATTTTTTTTAATTAAAAAATAAAAATACAATATTTTTTTTAATTTTGTTTTTTTTTTCAAGTTAGGGTTTATTTGTGTAACAGTTCTGACTATCCTGAAACTTTGTAAACCAGGCTGACCTCAAACTCACAGAAATCTGCCTGTGTTTGCCTCCATAGTACTGGTATTAAAAATGTGTACCATGACAGCTCAACCAAAAAATTAAAAAAAAAAAAAAAAAAAAAAAAAAAAACTTTAAAGCAGGACAAGTTGGGAAGTGTCAGCGGTCACCATTCAAAAGCACCAACCAAGTTACATAGTTCCAAATTATAGAAATGTGTGGAGGGCACAAGGCTCATATGCTTATGGATAGCACCAGAGAAACCAGAATTGTTAACCACAAGGTTTTTTTTCTTCAACAAAAATAACCTGGTGACCTTTTGCTGTTCTGTGAAGCCAGCCCTTACCCAGAATTTCTCAGATTACCAAGCATTGATTTTTAGTCAGTGGAACCCATCCTTTGCTTATCACATACCCTTCCTCCCTAGGCTCTTATCCTGAGTGTTATTTCTCAGCCAACAGAACCCATTCTTATGGAAAAGGTCATAGGTGCTTTACAAAAAGACACTTTGTAAGGGAGCTTCAATGTAGTCATTCCTTAAGCTTTGTTGTGATAATTATCAAGAGGAAACTTTTCCCAAGGTTTTACTGCTTAAGTACATAAGCAAACAAACAAACAGCTTGGGTGTCAGACTCCAGAAGATTGAACCAGCCCAACTGTGTTGAACCAAGCCCCTCTGCAGAGCATTTCACTGCAACTGTGACCCTTGCAGGGGCCCTTACAGAACTGAAGCTGTGAATACAATCTTGGCAGTGACAAACTGAAATTCCTACAGTTAATCTCTGATTAACATGCCTTTTAGAAAAATGTGCCATGATTTTATTGTATACTCTGTGATAAAGCACCACAACTTATAGAAAAAAAGTTTATTTGGGCTTATGGTTCCAGAGGAATCAGAGCCCATCATGACAGGAGACTGATGCATCAAGGCAGCAGGAACAGGGAGAGCTCACATCCAGAACCTGAGCAGTAAGCAGAGCACTAACTGTGTGGCTTTGAAACTTCAAATCCCACCATGATGTGCCTTCCTCCAGCAAGGTCACACCTCCTACACCCACCCAAACAGTAACACAACTGAGATCAGGGATTCAAACACCCAAGTCTGTAGGTAAATCTCACTGAAAACAGCACTCTGTGTAAGGGAGGCTCTCAAATCCCAGAGTATGTGTGTTGTAGAATGGAGCAATACCAAGTGTGTGTTACAATCTGAAACAGCCCATGGAAGCATCTGAGGACTATGAAAAAGAAAGTCAATGTCAATTTCAGGTTTGCATGTATTAGTATGTGCATTCATAAATTAATGTAAAGCCAACCCAACCAATATTTCCTGAGCACAGAGCCCTGGAGAAGGATTAGGGGAGCTGCACACAGATGATGTGCAACAAAGTCCCAGCCTCCTAAAAGAAAGTGGTCTACTTTAGGAAATGGGCAAAGAAAAGAAATGTAAAAACCAGGAGCTGGCAGGGTAGCTCAGTTTTAGTAAAGCTGCCTGCCTCCAAGCCTGAGGACCTGAGTTCGAACCCCAAAACCCATGTGATGTAAGGAGAGAACCAACTCCCTTCATGTACCTACTATTGCATGTCTACCCATTCATATATAATCAAATATACTCATACATAAATGTAAAGAGGAAAAAAATAAATTCCAAAGTGTGCAACAGAATGCATTGGCTCATAAGTTCACACAGTGGTTAAGCACAAGATTCATAGAGAAAAATGTGTAGTGAAATGGCAAATATTAAAAATGGAAGCTGTGTATGTTTGTGTGCAGTTTATGTGTGCAGAGGTCAGATGAAGATGTCGTGTTAATGCTCTTATCATTCTTCACCTTCTTTTTGAGACAGGGCCTCTCCCTGACCTGAATCAAAGAACTAATCTAGCAACCAGCAAGCCTACCGATTCTCCTACCTATACCTACCACTCCTACAGCACTAGGGCTAGAGCCGAAAAGTACGTCCATGATCTGCTTTTAGGTGGCTGTTGGATCCATATTCTGGTCCTCATGATTCTGCAGGAAAAGCGCTCACACACTGAGCCGCCTCTTCAACCCTTGACCCCTTCCTTTGAGGCATAGGTGTTACCATGTAGTTCTTGCTAGACCGTAACTCACTACGTAGAAGAAGCTGGCTTCAAACTCTCAGAAATCAATCTGACTCTTCCTCCCAGGTGCTGGAACTGAAGGCACGCGCGAAAACGACCGGTCGTGTTTGTTTTCTCTCTAGCCCAAAATGAACATTCACGCATTCTGCAGCCCAGGCTGGCTTCGAACTCAATAGTCATCCTCCTACTTCACCCTGATCAATGCTGGGATCACCGGCATGAGCCACTACTCCCAGTATATATTTCCTAGAAGGAGATATAGAAGGTTATGCTATAAAACTCAGCCGCTAAATTTAACACCTCGCACTCGGTTAAATACGTCGAGTTTTTGAAGACCACCCCCAAACTGAGTAGTGACTGGCTTTTATGCACAGTGACAGTGGCCCAAAGGTCTGGTGGGCCGGTCGGGCCGCAGGGCATTCTGGGGTTCGTAGTCTTTTTTTCTGAGACCAATCCCAACGCCGCCTTCCGCGCAGCGCCTTGACGCAGACTGAGGGCGAGTCACATATCCAATCAGAGGGCTGTAACGTGGCAGCCACCCACAGCCCCGCCCGCAGCGGCGCCTACCACTCGGCGTTGCGGCGCAGGGGGAACGAGGGGCGGGCCGCACGCTGCGAGGCCTCCGCAGCATCAGGTCTACCCCTGCGCCCGGGCCGCAATGCGCGAACACTGCGTGTCCACACCCTCTTCCGGTCCGGGCTCCCGCGACTGCTGCTTCTTGCTTTCGGTGGATGCTGCGCCTCTCGGAGCGCAATATGAAGGTGCTCTTTGCCGTGGCCCTCATCGTGGGCTCCGTCGTCTTCCTTTTGCTGCCGGGACCCTCCGTGGCCAACGATAAGAAGAAGGGACCCAAAGTCACAGTCAAGGTCTGGGCTCTCTTCACCCGGCGAGGCCTCCCTTCCGCCGCCTGCGGTCCGGCCCGGGTCTGAGTGGGTCTGGCTCAGTAGTTCCGACCTGAGCGTCCTTGTCCTGGTTCAGCCCATTCTTAGATCATCTGTGACCTCTTGGAACCAGGCTCGTCCTACCCTTTCAAACTAAGAATGACCCGAACTCCCCCCCAGCCCACGCCCTAACCCCAGGATACCTAGCTACGGCCAGCACGGGCTGTCTCAGGGAGGTCCTTTTGCACATACCCTATGTCCACTTCCAGTTTACTGTGTTTTGTAGCACGCACAGTAAATATAGTTAAACTTGCAAGCAGAGTACTCTCTTTATGTGATTTCCCCTTTTAATGTCAGTTTCTATAATCTGGAATAATTGTAAGAGCACAGGTTGCTATTCTGTTTTCTGAGAGGTAAATTTTCTTAATGTTATATTGTTTGCTTGCTAGGGAGAGGGACTCATAGGTGCCACAGGGCAACCAAAGGTCAGAAGACAACTTGCAAGAGTCGATTTTCTGTTTCCATCATATAAGTCTCAGGACTTCTGGGTTGATTGCAACCACATTTACCTACTAGGCCATCTGGCCTTCGTGTAATAATTTCTTTTGGGGTGGGGAGTGTAATGTAGCAAGCCAAGTATTGTGGCATATTGTCTGTAATCCCAGACACTTGGGAGAATTACAGTTATCAAGACCCTGTCTCAGAATATTAATGGCTGGGGTTGTTAGCTCAGTGATAGAGCGCTTGCCTGCCTACAGTGGTCAAGCCCATTTTGTCAGTCCCTAGTATTGAGTTGGGGGAAGTCTAGAGTTTTCATTATTGTACAGATGATTCTGAGCCACCTGGATGCTGAGAATGGAAGCTGTGTCCTGGAAAAGCAGCAGATGCTGCTAATAGCTGAGCCATCTGTCCAGTGTATACATTTGATTTGGCCAGAGGTTTTGCCTCTGGCCAAAATCAGACTCAGCCACAGCTTTAGGGCTTTAGCCACAGCCCTTGTGCTCCCTCCCTTCTTCCCTGCCTCCCCTCCCTTCCTCCCCCCTCTCTTTCTTTTTTTCTCTCTCTCATCAGGGTAATTTCTGGGGTTCTTTCTAATCTAACAAGGACCCTTTAAAAGGCTAAGCTTGGATTCTTTCATTTCCTTAGGTGTTCTTTGATCTTCAAATTGGAGATGAACCTGTAGGCCGAGTGACCTTTGGACTCTTTGGAAAGACTGTTCCAAAAACAGTGGATAATTTTGTAGCCTTAGCTACAGGAGAGGTAAGTGTCTGGTACAAAGGTGAGCAGTTCTGCATAGTAGGGATGGGAGCAGGTGGACTGCAGAATGTGTGCAGCAGTAGCTTGGTTCCCAGAGGAGCCAGGGGGTGATGGCAGCACGCCTTTAATCCCAGCGCTGGGGAGGTAGAGGCAGGCGGGTCTCTGTGAGTTCCAGGCCAGCCTGGTCTATAGAGTGAGTTTTAGGACAGGACAGGCTCCAAAAGCAATACAGAGAAACCCTGTCTCAGAAAACCAAAAAAAAACAAACAAACAAACAAAGGAACCAGACAATGTGACACGGTGACACATATCTTTAATCAGGTGACAGAAGTGGGCAGATCTCTATGAGTTCGAGGCCAGTGTGATCTACAGAGCAAGTTCCAAAACAGCCAGGGCTACACAGAGAAACCCTGTCTTGAAAACTAAAGAACAAAGGGGTCCAGGGTCCAGTTTGTCTATAACTTTTGGAGAAGGCCCTGGTACTGCTGAATTACTCAAAGCCTCAGTTGCCCGAATTTTGGCACTTCCCTGCTACTTCGTACAACTATTCATAGCACACACGCACGCGCGCGCACACACACACACACACTCCAAAGATCTAAAAGTGATAGTTTCACAGTTAAGGAAGTGTGTCAAATGGTTCAGTGACTACTGAGGTGTTGATGTGGTTTTATAGTAGAGAGAACATAGACGAGCATGACATATTTGGCTATGTTTGAAGACTAATCTTTAAATGAATCTGATTTTATTTGAATGTTCTTAGACCACATGATATGACTACTATTGGAATAAGAGGTATCAAATTTTTTAAAAAGAAAAAAGTGAGCTAGGTGTTGGTGCTGCTCGCTCACCTTTAATCCCAGCACTCGGGAGGCAGAGGCAGGAGGATCTCTGAGTTCAAGGCCAGCCTGGTCTACAGAACTAATTCCAGGACAGGCTCCAAAGCAATACAGAGAAACCCTGTCTCGAAAAACCAAAAAGAAGAAGAAAAGTACCATATTCTAAGTAATCTTAAAATATTAAGAAAATGTATATTCTATTTAATGGAATTTGTATTTTAATGCCTTTCCCCATTTTGTTTTGTTTTTCCTGAGATAGTCTCATGTATAACCTCTGGCTGACCTTGAATCTGATGTGTAGCCAGGAGTGTTCTTGAGCTTCTGAAACTCCTGCTCCTCTCTCCTGAGTGCTGGTATCACAGGTGTGCACACCATGCTCATTTATACAGTGCTCAGGGTAGAACCCAGGAGGGTGTTACTGCTAGGAGAAACAGTATCAGCCAAGATGTGTGCCCAGACTTGCTGCATCTATGTCAGAAAGAGATGTAGGTGAGTTTCTTCAGGGCCTGTTTGACACCTGCTTGCTGCCTCCTTAACTTCTCATCCTTTTTTCCAGAAAGGATTTGGCTACAAAAACAGCAAGTTTCATCGAGTCATCAAGGACTTCATGATCCAGGGTGGAGACTTCACCAGAGGAGATGGCACAGGAGGTAACTTCAGACCCTCTGAGCATGAGTCTTGACATCATAGTGTCCAAGGTGGGGTAGCCAGACTGCCTTGGTTAGACATCTTTTGCCCACTCTAGAGGCCGACTCTCTTGTATCCAGATTGGCTGCACCCTTCTCTGACAAAGAAATCCAGTGCAAAGGATGGGGTGGTGGGGATCAGGTAGGCTTGTGCTCTTCTCCAGGTACCCACCATTGATACAAGTCTAAAGATTGTACCACACATACTGTTGCCTGTATTACATATACATGCATAAGTAGCTAAAAAGGTTGGTGAGGTGGGTAAAGGTACTTGCTACCAAGCCTGATGACCTGAGTTCTAATCCTGGGTCTCAAACGTGGGAAGAAAACTGACTGCTGCAGGCATGACTACAGGCATGCACTGTGGCATGAGCTTGTGATCCATACATAAATACACAAACTAAAAATAAATAAAAGTGAAGGACTCAAGGCAAGTGTAGTGGTGTATGCCTAGAACCCCCACACTTATGGGGTTAAGGCAGGAGATTCCAGGATGACTTTAAGGCAAGCCCAGTCAACATGAGAACTTGTCTAAAAATCAAACACAGGGGCTGGAGAGGTGACATGGTGGTTTAGAGCATTGGCAGCTCTTGTGGGGGACCTGGGTTTGATTCCTACCTGGTGACTCACAACTGTTTATAATGCCAGTTTGGGGGAAATCTGACAGCCTCTTCTGGTCTTCTCAGCCACATGTGTGGTACAAAGTCCTACATGTAGGGAAAAACACCCGTACACTTAACTTTAAAAAAAAAAAAAAATTAATGCAATGACAGGTAGGTCAGGACAGTTCCAGGACAGCCAGGGCTACACAGAGAAATCTTGTCTTGGGGAAGATAAAAACAAAAACAAACAAAAATTGGTGGGCTGAAGCTTAACCATTTGCAAAGCAGCTGGATGGAAGTTCTGTGATAGAAGATTAAATGTCATTTGAGGAGCAATTGAAATCCCATGGTTGACTTAAGATTTCCAAATAGGAAGCCTTAGCAGTGTATAGCCAGGAATCATTGCAGGGAACAGGCCACCTCTCTTCCACCTTGCCGTCTAGTCTAATCTTGGTTCTTTTCTTCATCTCCCTTGTCAGTCTCAGGCAAGGGCAGGTGCTAACCTGGGGCACCCTAAGGTGGCTGTGGGCTGAGCACAGGGCGTGCTGAGAGCAAGAGTTTGCATGCAAGGGAAGTGAGTGGCATTGAGACAGGAAACTCAGAGATGTGCCTCCCAAGTGCTGGGGTTAATGTCATTCTGTCTTTTTCTATGCATACTTATAGGGTTGGCCAGCACATGTCATTTCATGCATGATACAGTCAGAACAACCTGTAGGAGTTGGTTTCTCCCTTCCACTGTCAGTTCCATGCCTGGCAGTAAGTTCCCCTGTGTGCCGAGCCATCCCACCAGCCTCAGAAGATGCTGCTACAACGTTCCTTTTCTCAGGCCCATCAGTCCATTGATGGGGAAGCCAACTTTGCAACCAGAATCTTGGAAACGGTGTGGAGCTCTGAGCTTTCTATCGTGATCCTGGACCCATACCCCACACAGACAGATAATGACACACATTCATAAGCATTTTTTTTATTGTATTATCCTTCCTCAGTAAGAGGGTCTTGGCTCTTAAGAAACCAAGTGGCAGGCAGTTCTACATCCTATTTTCCTTCCCCAGCCAACCCCTATCTGCTGTTCTTCTCTGCAGCAACCCTAGAAAGGCAATCTGGTTGGCTGTAGCAGCCCTTTTCCCTGAAGGGCTCCATCCATCCTCTCAGCATCCTGCATAGCACCAAGGCATCTCTCCAAAGCCCCTCCCTACAGGCTTCAGGACACAGCTAAGGATAGTAACATGTACCCTGACAGTCATAAAACTACTCTCATAGTAATTCATCCAAGTCAGCCTGGCCTCAAACCCCAGGTGGTCATGGTCCCAATGGCTTGGGTAGAAGACAGGAAGGCTATTTTTATGTCCTTCTTTGCCACTCAAGCCTGACCTGACAGGATAGTCTGAGCCCTGTAGATTTCACCCAAGCACCTGCATGTTTTGGTTCAACTCCCTGACCTACTGATTCTCTTCCCAGGAAAGAGTATCTATGGTGAGCGCTTCCCAGATGAGAACTTCAAGCTGAAGCACTATGGGCCTGGATGGGTGAGCATGGCCAACGCAGGCAAAGACACCAATGGCTCCCAGTTCTTCATAACTACAGTCAAGACATCCTGGCTAGATGGCAAACATGTGGTTTTTGGCAAAGTTCTAGAGGGCATGGTAAGTTTAAAAGTGAGGGCTAAACCTTTATAGTCCTTTCCAAGGATCTCGCTAAAATAAGCAAAGGCTTCAGGTAGGAAATGTCTCCCCAAGGGCACCTAAGCCACAGATACAGACCAACAGTGACTCCTAACCTGGCATAATGGTGGGGAATGTTAGGAACAAACAGCCTGATAATTACCTTGCATGTGCCTATGATCCTAGCTGCTGGGGAGCCTGAGGCAGGAGAATTACTTGGACTCAGGATTCCAAGGCCAGGCTGGACAGCATAAGACCACATTTCAGGGTGTCCATGTGGCTGCATGATAGAGGCATGCATAAGGCCCTGTGTTCAATCCCCAACACTACTCAGGAAAAAAAGGGGGATATATACATGTATGTATGTATGTATGTATGTATGTATATATATATGTAGATATATATGAATGATATATGATACTCACGTTACATTTCCATGCCCCCAAGGTTCTAAGTCCTCCCAGACAGCCTGTCCAGGAGACTTTGATGAGTTTGTCCAGCTTTGAGGCCCTCTGTTCTGTCACTCAATCAGGGGTGTTAGACACCCACACCTGAGTGGTATTGGTTCAGCTAAGCATCTGTGCTCAGCATTCACCCTGGCTTTTGGGTCCCTGGTTTCTGTGTTCATCCCATGTGGGTCTCAACATTTCTAAGCCACTCGCTTGGAGCTGTCTCCCAGTCCTGTGCCTTTTGACCTCCATCTCACCCACCCCCTCCTTTCCTGCCTTTTTCCTAGGATGTAGTGAGGAAGGTGGAGGGCACCAAGACAGACAGTCGGGACAAGCCCCTGAAGGATGTGATCATTGCAGACTGTGGCAAGATTGAAGTGGAGAAGCCCTTTGCCATTGCCAAGGAGTAGAATCTCAGGGACCTCATCCCTCCAAGTGGCTGTATGTGCAGGTCCTGTTACTACTCTCACAGGGGTGAAAGTAGCCAGGCACAAGGGTCCGTGCCACTCAGCCCCAGAGCTTCCGCCTGAGGGGGTGGACCCACACCCCCTCACATTCCACAGGCCTGGTTTTTATATCAAACTCCTATGAATGCTGATCAATAAAAAAAAAGTGAGTTTTCTTTTTTATAACTTAGGTGTGAGCTGAGTTTGAGGATGTATATAGCACCTGTCCTGAGTGCATACCAGCATGTCGTCTAGGACTCTTATGCATACATGCCCCTTCCTTGGGCTCCTGCCTACGCCTGTGCCTAGATGGTACCCACCAGTCATCAGGCAGAGGCTAACCAGCCACTGTGTCTCACCATAGCTTCTGCCATCTGCCAGGCTAGGCTAGGAAATACACCTGAATCTTCTTAGCCTACGGCTGAAATTACTTTATGCTTTTTTCTTTATCTTGACTTTGCCTTTGCCCCTGGGCTTTTAAGTCTTAAGTTACACCAACTGCAGCTGTCGATGCAAGCCAAGTTCAGAGCCTTGAGTGGGGTTGGGCACAACTGAGCCTAAGCTGGTTACACCCTGAGGCTAGTCCAAGGGAAGATCCAGTTTCTTATATGGAACTCCTAGGACTGAGGCACACAACTGTCCTGACAGGTGACCCGAAGACCGGCCTAGTCAGGGCACTGTTGATGGAGCAGGTTAACAGCTAGCCTTTTGCTGGGCCAGTGCTGAAGCCATAGAGGCCTTCGAGTACACCATCCACCACCACTTCTGGGAGAGGTTCTGTGGGAGAGAAAGTGAAGGAGAGGAAGCCAGTGTATGATAGGCCTGGCCATGGGCTTGCAGCACTCAGCTGCCCACAGGCTCGGCTATCTACCCAAAGGGAAGCACTGTTCGCTTTCCCCAGCCCACATTCTGTTGATATTGACTTTTGAAAACAGGCCACAAGGGGATAGAGACCAGGTGAACCAACTGTGTTGCACAGTTTCTATGAAGTAAGTTACAAAGCAGGTTACAGGATCCAGTGTGGCCCCAGAGGACAGCAGGAGGGAGGTGCTGATGTGAACTTAGAGGCGTGCCTCACCTGGGGAAGGGGTGTAAATGTAGGGGTCCATACAGAAGCCAATGACTGGCCGGTGTTGCAGCTGTGAGCTGTGGGGAGGAAAGGAGTTGGGAACTGTGAGTGGAAATGTGCAGAGCAAAGACTCCCCAAGGACCAAAATCAGCAGGGACCCACCCACAAAGCAAAGGAGCACAGGTTGCTGGCCTGCCTGCTAGCATGTAGCCACTAGAGGGCAGCAAAAACTTAGGGCAGGAGTTGGACTTGCCTGGTGTCACTAGGCAGGAATTCCCTCAGGGTGCTGGAAAAAAGAAAAGAAACTGAGCTGTTTAAGGAACCCAAGGGAAGTGGGGAGGGGTTGAAGACAGAATAGCCCAGGGGACTGTTGCTTCTATTTTATAACAAGACCAGTTCCGGAGCTGGAGGCGGCTGGGGTAATCAAAGCTGTCCAAAACAACCCTCCACCAGGGTCAAGAAAGTTGGTGAGGGAGGCCATGTATCAGAGGGAACCAGACCAGGGTCGAGCTCGAAAATGGAGAGAGCTTGTCCTTCAGGACCTTTATCCAGCTGCTTGCTGCTAGGAGCCCTTGCCACACCCCAGCAGGGGCTATCCTTGCCTCCAGCTGCTGGCCTTGGAGTCTGTGGGGAAGTGGCGAAGTCTCAGGAACTCCAGCAACTCCTTGGGCACCTCCTGATTCAGGTACAGGATGCCCTAGAGAGGAACACAGGAAGCCTGTAATCAGATACAGCTACTAATACACAACCAGTTGCAAACAAAAATTTGAGTACCTTTGTTCCAAAATAATTAATTTCGAGGCAATGGAAGCAAGTATTAAACCAAGCTCGGGGCCATTCTGAGGAACAATCCAGTATGGACTGCAAAAACACTGGCCCCATAAAGTGGGCAGGCTAGTTCAATAATGTATATCACGGTTGGAGGAATGATTTCACACATACCTCATGAAGATAATAGAATCTTATCCTAGGGGTGAAGAATCTTAAAGGACCTACTTGTTGGGTTATTCAAAAGTTTCAATAATCCAGACAGAAAAGTTTGTACTCATTATTGTTCAATGTGGCCAATATCAATCTCAAGTTGTGGGCCCTCATACCCCCTTATCTCTGCCTGGTCCCTGAGGGTGGGGAAGCAAAATGCTCTGTGCACACCTGGATATAGGTCTCCAAGCCCTGCCGGCGCTGTTCCAATCCTCTGGTCCTCCAGTTGGGCAGGCGTTTTGAGGGAAAGTCGGGCACTTTGTATCGTTTCTTGATCTGTCATCAGTTACCGAGGTGAGATCCCAGCAAAACCCTCAAGCTCATTCCATCTAGCTGAGACCACTCTCCAGTCCTCCCTCTATGCCTTTAAGCTCTAACCTGGGACTGCTGGTGAGAGGTGGTTGGGACAGAAGTGACATGCCTGAGAGTGGAAAGAACACACTTGGACAAGATCAGTCTGAGCTGGGATTTAACTCTGCGTTCTCCCCAAGAGGGGCCCTACAACCCTTGGGTAGTTGCCCGTGATCTGCACCTTCCCAGGGGTGGGACAGTGATGAGGGTGGCCAACCAGAAGCTGGGACCGGAGCCCTTTCGCCTGCCACCCAGGGGATTGGCCCGGAGCCAGATTGGCGGGTAGTCCGCGCCACCTCACCCGCTTGTGTAGAGCGTGGAACTCGCTGTAGCGCCTTGGAACGGTGTGTCTGCGACCGCTGTACAGCACCTCCACTTGGAACACCTAGCCGGCAGAGGAGTGAGGGCGGCGGGTCCAAATGATGCAGCAGGACCCGCGCCGCGAGATATGCCCGCTTTCTGGCGTTCGAAAGGCACAAAGACGACTTGGCGAGCTGCCGCCCAGGGAAACCCCTCGCGCACCCCACAAACACCTGAAGGAAAAGACTGACGGGCCCGCCCCTCTGCTCCACACGATCCCTCAAGAGCCCAGACCATCTTCCGAGGGACTGGGAAGGCCAATAACCCCGAATCTTTGCGATGGACGTCCCAACCCGGAATGCTGAGTCCCTTTTGCGCTCATCGAGGGGATTCAGCGGAACCCCACGCGCACCCTCCATCCATTGCTCACCATGTGGCCTTTCTCTGGACTCTGCTTGGGCTCTTCGGCCTCGGGCCCTACCGAGGGGATGTGAACTTCCAGCATCCGCGCCCTGACCCAGCCGCAGCCTCTCCTTGATCGCGCGCTAAGGCACCCGAACTCCCTAAAGCAGGCAGGCCGCCCTACGAGGCCACCCCGCCCTCGGGGTCCAGGCCCTGCCCCCGGCCGTAGGCCCCGCCCCATACTCCGGTCCTTCAGGCCTAGGCTCCACCCTCTGGTCCAGGACCCCGCCCTGGAGTCCCTGGCTGGCCCCACCCAAGGCGTTCCCTGATGCACTGGCATCTTGAGGCCAAGAGATAATAACCTTAGTCTAGTGAGGTCGCTAGCGGTGCCAAGGGGAGGAACCTTCAGCAGAGTCACCCATTTATCAAACATTTCCCTAGCGTCTACTGCCAGCCAGGTACGCAATCGAGCTAAAATTTCACCTGATCTTTGTTGAGTGGCCTGGATTCTGAAGTGGCAGATGAGGACACAGACAGTGTTCAGGCCTGGCCATCTGCCCCAGGACCACCCTTACTTTCAGGGAACCTGGCCATCCCATCCTTCCCCTCTTTCAGGTGATCCCTAGTAGCAATACCTAGAGACTCCAACTGAGACAGTACCAGGTTGAAGATGGGATCCATTCTAGCTTTGGTGGGCACCCACAGACCCTTTATTTGTTCTTTCTATATATCCATCCATCCATCCTACCTTACCATTCCTAACTTGTTTCAAGCCAGTGTGTGGGGAAGAGGTAGTTTTAAAATCCAGGCTTAGCCTGGTGGTGATGGTGCATGCCTTTAATCCCAGCACTTGGGAGGCAAAGACAGGCAGATTTCCATGGGTTTGAGGCCAGCCTGGTCTACAGAGTGAATTCCAGGACAGCCAGGACTGTTACACAGAGAAACCCTGTCTTAAAACCAACCAACAAAACAAACAAAAACCAGGGTCATTTCAAGGCCAACCTGTTCTAGAGAGCTAGTTCTGGAACAGATAGGGCCAAACCTTAACCAAGCAAGCAAAAATCCTACTACATTCCAAGAAAGACCAGCAAGGTAGATAAGTACAGCCTGGTGCCACCTCCATGGCCTCTCACGGGTCCTCTTCCTAAGCCCTGCCCTGTACCTTCCTTTTACTATCTACCCATCACTGCCCACACGTCTCAGTAGAACACGAACCTAAGGGAGGCAACACTTTTTGTTTTTTGAGACAAAATCAACTGAGTTGCTCTAGCTGGCTTCGAACTCTTGGTCTTAAACAATTATCTTGCCTTGGCCTCACACTTACCAGGAATCACAGGCCCATCCCACCCCACCCAGCCTCACTGAGTTTTACACTTAACTGTCAACCTGTTTTGCAGATGTGCAAAAAGTCCATGCAGTCCTGATACCCAGCCCCTGTGTCTTTCAAAGCTGAGCCTGGCTTGGTTTTTTGCTTGTCTGTTTGTTTGTTTGTTTGTTTTTCTAAGACAGGGTTTCTCTGTGTTGCCCTGGCTGTCCTGGAACTTGCTCTCTAGACCGAGCTGGTCTAGAACTCACAGAGATCTGCCTGTCTCTGCCTCTCAAGTGCTGGAATCAAAGGTGAGGATCACCACCCAGCTATAGTAGGATTTTAATTCAAAACTCTCACTTGATGTGATAGAAATGACCTCCATTTTTACCTCAACCCCATAAGCCTCACTCAGCTCTAAGAGAGCCACTGCAGAACAGGAGCACATTGTGTTCTGTTGTTAAACAGGGTTGTGAATGGTGGCTATTCTTAGTTGTCAACATGACTGTAGCTGGGATGAACTAGACATACCTGTGAGGGATTTTTAGTTAGTGTCTGATGTAAAGGACATAGAAGAAGGAAGCTTTTTTCTGTTTGTTTCTTGTCCTCATTCTCAGGGATCCTGCTGCACAGGCAATCCTTCACCAGCATTAGAGCCCACTTTGGGATCCTGACATATAGTGAAGACCAGCTGAGACATCCAGAATCATGAACTGAACAACTTTTGGATTCTTGAACTTTATTAGAAGACAGCCATTATTGTACTAGATGGGCCACAGCC